AGTTAAATTAAAGTGTTTTGTATAATAATTCATACTATGAAAAAAATAAAAAAGATAAAATCTAGAACTCTAGGAAATGTCAAAATTATTTTTTTCTGGTACCCAAGAAGGTCCTCCTCTGATGTTTATTGAAACTAAACTGATGTTTCGATTATTTTGGAAGACACTGGCAAAAAAAAAAAAGAAGAAGAAGATGTTGTCTCTGCACCTCATGCCATATACTAAATACATTTCAGTAAGTAACAATGGTTAAGTGAAAAAACTTAAGCTATATAAAAAAGAAGAGAAAGAGAGTAGAAAGGAGAAAGTAAAGATAAAAAGCAGAAAAGAAATGTTGTTTAATATCAGACATCAGATATAAGAAATTCTAGACAATTAAGCATAATATGTGCATGTATAAGAAAAAATCAATGTTTATGATTATAACACATTTAAATATTTATAAAATATAAATATTACAACCAAATATTAAAAAAGTATTGAAACACTGAGAAATTATATACCAGAAATAATCACGATATTAATGCATTCTCTCTACAAACAGTGGTACAAATGCATGAAGCAAAAAAAAAACAGGAAGAGCAAAGGAAAATGAACAAACAAATAGTAGAAGAAATGTAAACAGTCAGTAAACATAAAATATTGGATTAAGTTCTGGTAGAAATTTTTAAAATTCTAGCCATACATATTTTAACAAACACAGTCTAGTGATTTAGTGATTAACTAATTAAATTAGAAAATGAATAAATGAAAATCAATTTCCAGTAGAGGATAAAGTTTGCTTTAGAATATTATACCTTCTCATATATTTTTTCAGAACACTTATCACCTCCTTGTTTCTGAGACTATAAATAAAAGGGTTTAATAAAGGAATTATTATTGTATAAAAAATTGCAACTGGTATATCTTTATCCCCTTCTTTAACTGGCCGAATATACATGAGAAGACAAATGTAGAATATTGAGACAGAGAAAAAGTGGGATGCACAAGTAGAAAAGGCTTTACCTCTCCCCTCTTTGGATTTCATTTTGAAAATTGTGAAAATGATGTAAAGATAAGAAATCAATACAGTGGCAATGGTGAAGATTTGAATAGGCATTGAAAAAATATATATCATTAGTTCATTTATAAAAGGATCAGTACAGGACAGTCTGTATAGTGGAAGTATATCACAAAAAAAGTGATTGATTTGATTAGTTCCACAGAAAGTTAATCTTAATAGAAGTACTACATGAATCATGGAGTGCAGGTTCCCAGCTAGGTAGATGCCTATATTCATCTGAATGCAGAGTTGCTTTGACATCATGGTGTGGTACTCCAGAGGACTGCATATTGCCACATAGCGATCATAGGCCATTGCTGCCAGGAGAAAGCAGTCTGCAGTTTCTGCAAGGCAGAGAAAATAAAATTGTGCCATGCATCCATAGAGGGAAATCGTTCTGTCCTCAGAAAAGAAGTTCTCTAACATCTTGGGGGTAACAGCACAGGAACAGCAGGAATCCATCAGAGCCAGGTTGCCCAGAAAGATGTACATGGGTGTGTGAAGACGGCGCTCCATGAAAATCAATGCCACCAAACCAAGATTCCCCACCATCGTGATCAGATAGATAGCAAAGAACACCACAAACAGAAGGGTCTTCAGATCTGGGTGATCCATAAATGCTGTGAGGATAAACTCAATTGTCAAGGAGTTATTCTCTTCCATTCCTGACTTGTCTGCTGAGATAGAAGTGTAGAAGAGAGATTCTAAATTAATGTCTACTTCTCCCATCTAATTTCCCCATGAACAAATGAATCACCCTATGTTGTTTCCTGAAAACTAGTACCACATAGCAGGTCACATCATGGGAAAAGAAAAGTATTACAGACATGTAGGTAGGAATTGTCTGGAATGCCTCAGAGAGTGCTCAAGGTGGAAAAGCATTTTCTGCATGAATTATTCAATGCTAGTATAAACATTTGTAATTAGTATAAATAATCTGGCATATGTTTTCAAAAGTAAAAAATAATGTTCTTATGTATTTTTTTTTTTTTTATCTTCGTAAAAACAACTTTCACACTACCATGGTGGGATCAACATTTGGAAGTAATTGTTCTTTAAACATTTTACACGTTATGATTTGAGAACTCCATGTATGACCCAGAGTTTGATAAACCTGTCTTAGTATACCTTCTGTGAAAAGGTCAGCAATGGGAATGTAAAAGAAAGATGTACTAATCCTTTAAGACAAGGGAAGAATATAGAACATCTTAGATTTTCTTAATAAATTAATTTGTATATAAGTTTTATATTTATCACAACATATTTTTGCTCCTTCTCCTATCTTGGTATGAAAAATTACCCAACAAGTTATTAATCTTAATGATTCATTTATCTGAATACTTCTTCTCTCTAATTTTAGGTATCTCCTATGCATGTCTAACATTGTGAGATTTGGTGATGAAGTCTCCTCTCATAGCATTCATAAGCTTCATGATAGATACCTTTTTGATGTCCTCTCAAGCATATACAGTATTTAATGACCTCATTTTTGGTGACGACCTTGGAGGTTGCTCTTTTGTTTGATTACTAAAGTTTACATACACACTCACCTTTAATCCACTATATGTTAATTATAATTCAATGGTCACCTAAATTTTTTGTAAGTTTCTTGTAGTTTACCAATCACAATATTACAACATTCTAGGTACAGATGAAGCATGTATTTCCTTTTCAGAATTGTAGAATATATTTGCTAATCGTAAATCTGATAAGCAATCTGTATGTGAAATATATATATATATATATATATGTATATAACTTACGATTAAAAAAAAAAAAAGACAACCCAATTTCTTACGCAGGCGAATGATTTAAATAGACATTTCTATTTCTCCATAGAAAATGTAGAAATGGACAATAAAGACATGAAAAGATGCTTTGACTATTTTTATAATTCATATGTTCTGAATACTTTCTTGTGCTGTAGATGATAGTTTGTGCAGCAGATTACTTTCCCATTCAATAATTGATAGAAAAATTGCTGTATTACATTGGTTGCAGCCCCTGCAATGTGTCAGCACTCTCCATTTCCACTCTAGGTTCCCTGCTTCCATTAGTCCAGTTTCCCTGCCCTTCTCTGTCTTGTCATCTTTGCTTTTGGGAAAATATACATGCAGCACATATAAATATATATATTGATAAGCCCACAACTACACCTATTTGTGCACACAGATATATTCTCATTCAGCCTCCAACACTTATAAAGGATACATATCTACCTGTGTGTTGTTGTTGTTGTTATGTGCCATCTAGTCAGACCCAACTCGTAGCAACCCCTCCTTGGGTTTTCAAGGCAATATATATATATTTTCTTTTTACACACAGGTAGATGTGTACATGGGGAAATTAGCTGTGTACATCTAATTTTCATGGGGAAATTAGATGTGTACATTTACCTATGTAGCCACTCACAAATTATTGGTGGTTATTCTGTTGTTGCAGGATTATGTATTTTATAGTATTTACTATGGTTTCCAGAAGTATTAATTTTAAAGAACAATAGAATCCAATTTATTTTCTTAGGAGCTCTGGTAGCATAGTGCCTAAGGCACTTGACTGCTAGCCATAAGGCTGGTGGTTCAAACCCACCAGCCACTCCT